CCAACTGCATAGCAAAAGTGTTGACTGACCGTTGCAGTTGCTTTGTTTCCGTTTCTGTCATTTTCAATTCTATTCGGGAACACAATTAGATGTAATTAGATGTAATTAGTGTAGCGTAGTGTAATCAGTGTAGTGTAATGAAGCGTAGTATATGTGTATTGTAGTTGTGGCAGTAGTGTAGTGTAGTGTAGTGTAGTGGTAGTGGTAGTTGTTGTAGTTGTAATTGTCTATCTGTCTATCTATCTATGTATCTATCTACCTATCTACCTATCTATCTATCTACCTATCTATCTATGCATCTACCTATGTATCTATCGATCTATCTATCCATCTATCTATCTATCCATCCATCCATCTCTCTGTCTGTCTGTCTACCTATCTGTCTATCTGCTACCTTGAAAACGAAGCTATTCTGCGAGGCGTCCTCAATTCTTGAACTTGACAACATCAAAAACGCAGCAATTCAGCGAGACGTCCTCAATTGTTTGCACTTGACACCGTCAAAAACGAAGCAGTTCTGCGAGACTTCCTTCAAAAATGGAAAGTTGAGTGAAGAGTTGACGGCCTCGTACCAATGCGTTTAGCGTTTTTTTTCCGCTCCACCTGTCTAAAGTACTGCGCCTGCCTCGAAAAAGTGATGCCAGGTCATACGAAGTGCTGCACCCGTCACGCAAAATCATCTCAGCAAACCTGAAGATCTGATGCTCCAAAATGCAACACCTCTCAGGAAATCAGCGCCCGGGCCTCCTAACAGCTCTGCCATCGTTTTTGGAAATGCCACAACACCCTCACCTTTTTTTCCCTCACTTTTGACAAGATGCACAATCCCTTGCGCCTGCCACGCGAAATGACATCTGAACGTCCAAAAGTGGTCCGAGCATGTGGTGTTTTGACTTCGAAACGCGCTTCGCGCCACAACGGCGTGCACTTTTTCGACATCTCAACTTCCAAAAGCGGTCCGGACCTGGTCTGCTTTGTACATTTTGACTTCGAAATGTGCTTCGCGCCACAACGGCGTGCAATTTTTCATCTCTCATCTGCCCAGCGGGCTCCGCACCCGCCGCTTTAGCGAGCCTACTTTTCGACCCTCCAGAGCCACAGATCATTTGAAAAACACGGTGGTTCGCGACTTTCCTACCTTTTCGCGCACCTGGATCTTCTTTTTCTGAATTTTTCCCTTTTTTTTGATTTTTTTTTGATTTTTTTCTTCTCTTCTCTTCGCTGACTCTTCCCATCTCTGCTTTTCATCCGTCCATATTGCCGGAAGTGTGACTTCACGACCAGCGTTTCAGCGTCCAAAGTGGCCACAACACCGCTATTTACAGTGTTTCGTGCCTTCCACGTTTTCTTGACATCGCAAACACTATATAAATACTGGCAGCTTGGCGATTCTCACAACTACCATCAGAAAGTGTTGGTTTTTCCCTTCTCAAAATTATGTGATGCATGCCGCGAATAATGATATCCTCAGAAAATTCTGATGATATCCTCAGAAAAATTGATGGCCCTCAGAAATGTCTGATTGTATCCTTCAGAAATTCTGATAATATCCTAGGAGAAAGGAGAGAGGAAAGAGGAGAGAGAGTGAGAGAGAGAGAAGATGTGAAGATGAGAAGGTGTGAGAGAAGGTGTGAAGATGAGAAGGTGTGAAGATGAGAAGGTGTGAGAGAAGGTGTGAAGAGGAGCAGATGTGAAGAGGAGCAGATGTGAAGATGAGAAGGTGTGAAGATGAGAAGATGTGAAGATGAGAAGATGTGAAGATGAGCAGATATGAAGATGAGAAGGTGTGAGAGAAGATGTGAAGATGAGAAGGTGTGAGAAGATGTGAAGATGAGAAGATGTGAAGATGAGCAGATGTGAAGATGAGAAGGTGTGAGAGAAGAGAAGATGAGAAGGATGTGAAGATGAGAAGGTGTGAGAGAAGGTGTGAGAGAGAGAAGGTGTGAAGATGAGAAGGTGTGAAGATGAGAAGATGAGATACAGACCCCCACTATTGGAAGAACCCTGCGCTCAGATGCTCTCGGGAAAAAGTTAGAAGGAAATTGAGCAACATGGCAACAGTTTCGGAAGATAACATAGGAATTTTCTGAGGCTATCATGAAAAAAAGGGGTATTGGGTTTCAAGGATGCCATCACAGCTTCTGTGGTATCATCAGAAATCTCTGAGGATCTTTATTTTTTGAGGATCCCATCATGATTCTCTGACGATAGCAGCAAAAGGTCTCTCTCTCCTTTCTCTCTCCCTTTTCTTTCTCTCGCCTTCTTTATCTTTCTCTCTTTAGGCCGAGGGTGGTGCTGGCGGGGGGTCACGAAACGTGAACCCTTTCGCACGAAATGAGGGTCGATCGGCGAAAACTGAGGTAAAAGTGTGATTTTATTTGTCCTGGAGCAATCCTTTCGCACGAAATGAGGGTCGATTGGCGAAAACTGATGTAAAATTGCGATTTTACTTGTCCCGGAGCAACCCTTTCACACGAAATGAGGGTCGATCGGCGAAAACTGAAGTAAAATTGCGATTTTACTTGTCCCGGAGCAACCCTTTCGCACCAAATGAGGGTCGATCGGCGAAAACTGAGGTAAAATTGCGATTTTCCTTGTCCTGGAGCAACCCTTTCGCACGAAACGAGGGTCGACCGTCAAAAACTGAGGAAAAATTGCGAGTTTACTTGCCCCCGAGCAACCCTTTCGCTCGAAATGAGGGTCGATCGTCAAAAATTGAGGAAAAATTGCGAGTTTACTTGTCCCCGAGCAACCTTTTCGCACGAAATGAGGGTCGATCGTCAAAAACTGAGGAAAAATTGCGATTTTACTTGGCCCCGAGCAAGCCTTTCGCACGAAATGAGGGCCGATCCTCAAAAACTGAGGAAAAATTGCGATTTTGCGTGTCTGTGTGTAAAAGCAAGCGTCTGTGTGTAAACGTGTTAGTGTGTAAAAGCGTCTGTCTGTAAAAGCTTTTCTGTGTAAAAGCGTCTGTGTGTAAACGCGTCTGTGTGTGTAAAAGCGTCTGTGTGTAAAAGCGTCTGTGTGTCAAAGCGTTTGTGTGTAAAAGTGTTAGTGTGTAAAAGCGTCTGTGTGTAAAAGCTTTTGTGTGTAACTGTGTGTAAAAGCGTCTGTGTGTAAAAGTGTTAGTGTGTAAAAGCGTCTGTGTGTAAAAGATTTTGTGTGTAAAGGCGTGTGTGTGTAAAAGCGTCTGTGTGTAAAAGCGTCTGTGTGTAAAAGCTTTTGTGTGTAAAAGCGTCTGTGTGTAAAAGCTTTCGTGTGTAAAAGGGTCTGTGTGTAAACGCGTCTGTGTGTAAAAGCGTCTGTGTGTAAAAGTGTCTGTGTGTCAAAGTGTTTGTGTGTAAAGGCGTCTGTGTGTAAAAGCGTCGGTGTGTGAAAGCGTCTGTGTGTGTGCAAGCGTCTGTGTAACAGCTCTTGTCTATAAAAGCTTCTGTGGGTAAAAGCTTTGTGTGTAAAAGCGTCTGTGTAAAAGCAACAGTGTGTAAAAGCGTCTGTGTGTAAAACTGTCTGTATGTAAAAGCGCCTTTGTGTAAAAGTGTCTGTGTGTAAAAGCATCTGTGTAAAAGCGTATGTCTGTAAAAGTTTCTGTATGTAAAAGCTTCTGTGGGTAAAAGCTTTGTATGTAAAAGTGTCTGTGTAAAAGTGTCTGTGTGTAAAAGTGTCTGTGTGTAAAAGCGTCTGTGTAAAAGCGTCTGTATGTAAAAGTGATTGTGTGTAAAAGCGCTTGTGTGTAAAACCGTTTGTGTGTAAAAGCGTTTGTGTGTCAAAGCTTCTGTGTGTAAAGGCGTCTGCGTGTAAAAGCTTCTGCGTGTAAAAGCGTCTATGTGTAAAAGTGTTTGTCTGTAAAAGCGTTTGTATGTACAAGTGTTTGTGTGTAAAAGTGCCTGTGTGTCAAAGCGTCTATGTGTAAAAGCTTCTGTGTGACTGTGTGTAAAAGTTTTTGTGTGTAAAAGCGTCTGCGTGTAAATGCTTCTGTGTGTAAAAGCTCCTGTGTGTAAAAGGCTCTTTGTTAAAAGTGTCTGTGTGTAAAAGTGTCTGTGTGTAAAAGTGCCTGTGTGTAAAAGCATCTGTGTAAAAGCGTATGTCTGCAAAAGTTTCTGTATGTAAAAGCTTCTGTGGGTAAAAGCTTTGTATGTAAAAGTGTCTGTGTAAAAGTGTCTGTGTGTAAAAGTGTCTGTGTGTAAAAGCGTCTGTGTAAAAGCGTCTGTATGTAAAAGCTTCTGTGGGTAAAAGCTTTGTGTGTAAAAGGGTCTGTGCGTAAAAGGGTCTGTATGTAAAATCGTCTGTGTGAAAGCTTTTGTGTGTAAAAGTGTTTGCGATGCAAACTATTGTCTTGCACTTCTGCTATTTTGTCTTAATACTCCTCTTCTCGACTGCATATAACACATCTTTAATATTTTGTTTCTAATATGGTGTCTCCATACTAACAAGAGAAGACCCTGCTCCTCTACGCTCTCGGGCCATCCGTCGTCTAGTTCAACAGAAGGATGTCTCTCTAGAAAACTGTTTTGATGTACTTTCAGGGTGGTCTGACTACTATGAGAACCTACTGCTGGTATCCTCAGAAAATTTGAATGATACCCTCACACAATCTGATAGTGTTTTGCTTCAGGCCCGATAAATCACATGGTTGATTTGCATGTCTGGCAGAATTCCGCTATATGCGTTCTCATGCGTTTAAAAAATCATTTCAAGCAGTGAATGCCCTTTTTATAAGGTCCCCCCCCGAAGCATATTAAAACCCCATATATTCCCCGCCTCAGGACTTTTACTACTGGCAAGGGGGGTCCAACTTCTGAGCTGTCATGGCAATGAACGACATTTTTAGCACGTATGCGCATAGAGATTGAAACCCCATTGTCCAAACTTGTTACTTTGCCCGAAACAACTGAAGCTGGGCTGGGCCTACTTGCTAGTGGCCCAAAGACTGGTTTGGTAGCACGCTGAAGATTGCATCTAGGGCAATGCGAAGCTTGCACAGGTTGTGTGTTCGCGCAGAGGAGTTCGCAGAACTGAGCACTCACTCTCTGGGTGGTTGCACAGGTCGCTTGTTTTGTGTGTGCTCCCTGGTTCAACTTTGACGAGCCACATTAGTTGCCGCTTTGCTGGTCACGTTCTGTTTGTCATTCTCAGATCTTGTTGCTGAGGTAGCATACCGACTGTCTTTGCCAGCGCCCTTGGACTGTGACATGCATGTTCTTTCTCACCTTTGCCATAGCTCGTGGAAGAACTGCCGGACCCAAGTTTGAACCCAGGCCGGTCATCAGTGGAAATGTGTACCAAAAGTTCTATACACAGCCTGGGCCTTCTGCATTCACTCCTCTTTACAGATAAATTTGAAACGGCATCGCCACCCAAGGTTTGTGCATGCGCGTTGTACCGCCTGGCACCCATGCATTTTCGCCCCGTGTCCGGTGCGCCATACTTTGCGTAGCACCTTTTCAGATTTACAGCGCAGATACCTGCTAGGTCTGCAAAACCTCATCGTGCGCAACTGAAACGTTCTTTCTGTCCTTCATAGCACAGAAATTGTAGCAACTGCTGCGATGCCTCTGCAATTTCATGCCAACCAAGTTCGATCCCTACGCTCTGCCTCTTGTGCGGCACGTTTCTGTGCTGTAACTCTGAGTGCGTTGCTCAGAATTCTGCTTTTCCCCGCCCTTACAAAACAAATCCAACTTTGCTTTCTTGGGTTTTTGCAGGTGTTGCAGACGCGAAGGAGATGGCGGTCAAATATTTGGGGAAGTTACACAGCATGCGCAGGTCAAGGGATCTGCGTCATTTTGGGCAGGATGCCCGGTACTTGTACAGCTGCGGGGCTGCGTGGGCATGCACAGGTTTGCGGCTTCGGGACTTGTGTCTTCCTGCAGCTTTCAAATTCGTCACACCAGCGCCTTTAAGACGGTCTTTTGCGGGGCAATTCGAACACGACCGATAGATGCACCTAGAGAAGCGTTGAAATGCCAGGCTTGTGCACATTGTTGCTGATGGGTTCATAACCTGCCCGCATCTCAAGATTTGTCAGCACGGGGGCAAAGTATTCAGACTTCAAGGGACGGGTGTGTTACATGTCCGGCCTCCAAGTTGCAAAGCAAATGTTTGTAAAGATTTTGCAAAGCCGTTTGCAAGCGGGTGCTGAGCAAGTAGTTTTACGCACGGCACTGAGCATATAACTTCTGTCCTGTTGAAAAAAGCACATGGCGAAAGCAACAAGGAAAAGTGCAGCTCAGGCTGGGGTTCCTTGTATCTAGATGGCCATGGTGAAGAAGAGCATGGGTCTGAGGATGAACTCATGCATTGGTTCCTTTTCGTGCCTCAACATGCGGTAGACACTTGTGCCATGTTCAAAGGTACAATCTGTCAAGACCCCTCCATATCTCTGAAGTACGACTCCAGCAGTTAATGCAGTCCACGCCCAAGACGCCTGAGACACCCGCAGACCCCAGGACATGGAACAGCAACGCGAAAACAGGCTAATAGACCTGATAGTGACAGAAAGATCAGCTCATGCACTTGCATCACCGGAGAATGAATTATCATTCTCATTCGGTTCTTTGTGTGTTGCGCCAAAACTCTGGAATCATACCGGACAAACTGTGGAGTGCAGGTTCTTGTTCAATCACGCAGCCAGCTCAGGTTGATGCGCGAGGTCTCCTTTGATTTCGAGCGAAGATCTCAGTTGCCGAAGGGAAGACCATACCGAGAATCAACCAGAGTCATCACTTTATGTGGCCATCTCCTTGAGCATTTCTTCCACCCACTGCATCCAAAGAAGCTGTTCACTTGCGAAACTACTGTATGCGTTGGGGCCCCTGAAAGCCTTAAGTGTGCAGCTGGGAATGGGTCCAAATCATGGTTTTGAAGCAAGGTCCCGTTTGAAGTGGAAGAAGGTGATTATGGTGCCCTGGCATGAGTCTTGACAGAGTATGAGGATGTTTGAGGTATGGTTTGGTGACGGAGCCTGCATTGTATGCTCACATGCCTTGCTTGGTTTTGCATACTCTTTCAGCTGCAGACAAATTTGCCAGGTATGACAACCTTTGATTCCTGAGGGCTGCAAGCGCGGCTTTGTACAAAGATCTTCCTACCCCCAAGACGCGCACGTGTCTTCCATGAGCATCACGACTGCAGCACGCACAATGCACACAAGAGGATTGAAATCGATTTAGGCATGAATGCTACACGTCTTCTTGATTTGTTCGCTCGCTGGCATGCACACTGCTCTCCAGGGGCGGGTCATCATATTTGATCATATTTGCACATTTGTCCCTCATTGATCCTTTCTGGAATTGTTGTTTCAATTAATGTAAGTTATACTGCTGTCATCCTCTGGCATTTTTAATGCTCAGTCTTGATCTCTGTTGTGAATAGTATTTCCAAGCCCCCCATGCTCCATCTGGGAGCCCGGGGAGCACCCTGCTTCTATGCATATTGATTTGATTCTGTGCTTTTCATGGTGGGAGAGTGCAAAGTCACATCCACAGTGCAGTGTGCGACGGCCTCTTGCCTGACATAAGTAAACTTGGCCGCGCATTGGCCTTGCATGCTTGGATGGCAAGATTGATGTCTCCAGTTTGGGAAGACAGCAAACTGTTCAAGCATGCATTGGCACAACAAGTAATAAGGTTTTGTGTTAATCCTAGTTGGCTTTGCCTGCATGCTAGATTTCCACGACCAAGCACTTGTTTAATTCGTCTGCAGCTTAGTTTCCTTTTACCATACTGCGATATCCTGTGGTTTGGAGCCACCACGAAGACATGGGCGCTTCTCATGCGGCAGAGTCTGGAGAACCCCCAGCTGATTTGATTCCAAGCACCTTGGGTCCAGCGATGGTGAAATAGAAGGATTTTGGGAAGCTACTCAACTTCGGTTTCATGTGTCCGCACGGTCCGTGCGGTCGTTGAAGTCTTTTTTTGGGATTTCAAGCTCTTCATCTTTTGCAAGCACAATGAATGAAGCTCTAGTTGTCCTGACAGCCCTCAGGTACAAACACCAAAGATGCCCGGCACCGCGACCAACCTGGGCTTGCATTTTTTGCTGAAGTTTTCGCGGCTGCCCGAATTGCAAGAAAGAGATCGAAAGCTTGCAGGAAAGGTTTTGCGACTTTTTTTTTGAAGTTTAGACTGGGCCAACGAGCTCAGAAAATCTTCCTTTTGTCTTCATTTTATCCTCATTTCCTCATCATATCTTTGAAACATATGTGTGTTTGTTTTTGAAACATACATGCGCATTCATAAACAAATGTCTCTTTGCAAATATTTGAATGCGCACATCGTCGGACATAGGTCCTGTGCCTTCGCATTCGCAGCTCAATAACTTCACATCGGCATATGGCACGCATGATTTGGAAAGGAATGTTAACATTTGAAATCAATGTATGAGGATCTATGGGCCTTATTTTGTGCAGCAACAATGAAACCTAGATATATTCAGAAATCAAATCAAACACCAGGGTCTATACCAACCTGGTGAAAACACACTTGTGTATACATATAAACCAAGAGAGCAAAAATAAAATGAGGTTCTACAAGGCAATACAAAAGAAAAATGCAAATGAAATGAGGTTCCAGAATCCAAGGTGAAATCTGATGCACTTTTAATGAGCTTTGAGAATGAAGATACAATGAGGATAAAACTCCAAGGCAAAATCTGATGGAAATTTAATGAGGTTTCAGAATGAGGATAAAATAAAGATAAAATGAGGATTTCTTTTTTTGCATTTTCCAATATCTGGCTCGCAGAAAATCTCATAAATATAGGAGATAATTCCGCGTGCTTTCAAAATCTTGCCGCGCCTTTCGATCAACGTGCAGGAAAGAACACATGCGGCTGTCGGTTGCTGCAGGAGAACAGAAATGAGGTAGAGCGCAATGGGTGAAATTTTCATGGAATGTATATTACAGCCAACGACGGCAAGGAAGGGGTCAAGGGAGTAAGAGATCATGGAAAGAAGTGCTGCCCGACCCACAAGCGAGAGGACAGCACAGTCAGCGCAAAATGCAAGACAAGCAAGACACCTCAAAAAAGGGTAGGAGTGAGGGCGAAGATCACAGCATCAGCGCTGTCAAGACTAATGGGGCAGGCATGGGCAGGCAAAAGCAACAAGCATCGCTACTAGGCGTTTCAGGTCAGTTAAACTGATGTTGTAGTCGTTACAACCCATATTTAGAATAGCAAGGTCCAAACACATACGTTGTTTTGCTCGCCCCCTCAATGTTTGATCTAAGCTTATCTAAGTTCAAGATAGGTGCTTGATATCCAGCTATAAGATAGGTACGCTACGCTTGGTATGCTTGGTGCGCTTGGTACGCTTGGTACGCTTTGGGTAGGTACGCTTGGTACGCTTAGTAAGGTACGTTTGGTACGCTTACCAACCGTACCGACCGTACCAACCGTACCGTACCACATGTACCAACCGTACCGTACCAAGAAAACCAAACCTACCAGCCGTACGTACCAGACATGTTTGGATCTTACTTAAGGCCTCTACCACCTATCTTGAACCTAGCTAAATCTAAGCATTCCCTGACTGACTGAATTTGATTTTTTTTACAAAGAGCGGCCGCATCACCCCTTATCACATCGAATCACATCACCATGGCTTGCCAACTGATGGGCGATTGCCAAGATGTTGAAGATGTTGCACCTTTACCCACGAGAAGTGAAGGGGTATTTGGCTGGTGGGTTGAGGCCGCAACCCTGGACCCACGAAGGATTGAGGCAAGACCTTCGTACTCAGGCTTCCCGAAAAGACCAGCAGTGTACTTGCCCTGTTCAAACAAAGATCAGGCACCGCATTTCGGCTTTCTAAGATAGCATGCTTCCATAATTTTGGATTCAGAAGGTACGGAACAAATTTCCTATGTGCGTGCAACTGAACCTTGCCGGCTCAAGTTCTATTTGCTACGCGTACCTGATGTCTACTCGCGATGTTTCATAGGAGTCCTTTGGTAGGACTGACCCTTCTGGCCCCCCTTGCTGCCAAGTGCTGTAGCCAGAGCGTATCGCTGCTGCAAACGTTGACTGATCCGATTCCCCGCGGTGTCCATGTAGGGCCGACTCGAATTCCATGCGTCGTCCACCAGACCTGGCAGACGCATCAGCTCTCAGATCAGCAGAAAAGGTGCGTGAACACCTGGAAGTCAAAGAACCCGGAATGCACCTGGACGGATTACGACCATATGTAGTTGCATGTTTTGGGATTAGGTGCTTTTGGTTGCTTTTCCAGACGCCCCACCCAAAGTTTTCTTCATGGATCAACAAGCCATCAAGGTGAGCACAGATTGTGGAATGACACTGAAATTGCAGCGCTCTGTCAAGAAAAATCTCCGGGTCTTATATGGCCAATCTGGGATGGGCTGTCGCCTGTTCAGCGCGCAGATGTCTTTCGCTATCTGGTCTTATGGGACCAAGGAGGCTACTATGCAGACATAGATGTGCGATGCCACAGACCAGTTGCAGACTTTCCGGTGCCCAAAGATTCTGGGACCAAGTTCCAAGGATATTTTCCTTTAGCTTCCCAAATGCTCCAATATTTTTTGCCATACATGCCATTGGCCTCAGGGGAATTGCATGCTGCAAGCACGGATGTGCAAGATGTTCTGGTGTTGCGCAAAGCGGCTTCATGGCGCGCTGTATCCGGTGGTGATGTGCTATATCATGGGGAAAAACGGCGCCAGGAGGCAATTTACCCCCTGCCCCCTGGCGGTCATTTTGCGGTTGCGGGAAGCTCATTTTCTCGTATTCAGTGGTCTTTATGGGGTTGCGGGAAACTTTTTTTTCGTATTCAGGGGTCTTCATGGGGTTGCGGGAAACTCATGTTTTCGTCTTCATGGGTTTTGGCCAGGTGTGATTGTCAGCCAGGAAGTGGCACAAAGGATGGGCGGTGAGGCTATCCATGAGTTGGGAATGCATTTGGACCAGATGTTTTTAGGACTTGAAACTTTGTTTTTGCTGTCAAAATAAGCTTCGGTGGTATCCCCAACAGCCGCAACGTTTTATTTTCACAAATCTTTCTGAAGTGTGCTGCGAAGCCAAGCGCTGGAACCTTCTCCGGAACCCTGTTGAACCTGACCTGGCTGCACCAAAGCCTCCCAGCCCAGACCTTCTCCGGGAACCTTCTCCGGAATCGGAACCCTGTTGAACCTGACCTGGCTCTGCACCAAAGCCTCCCAGACCTTCACCGGAACCTTCTCCGGAACCTTCTCCGGAACCCTGTTGAACATGACGTGGCTCTGCACCAAAGCCTCCCAGACCTTCTCCGGAACCTTCTGCGGAACCCTATTGAACCTGACGTGGCTCTGCACCAAAGCCTCCCAGACATCATCCGGAACCTTCTCTGGAACCCTGTTGGACTTAATTTGGCTTTGCACCAAGGCTTCCTGGAACCTTCTCCCGAACCTTCTCCGGAACCTTCTCCGCCCAGACCTTCACCGGAACCTTCTCCGGAACCTTCTCCGGAACCCTGTTGAACATGACCTGGCTCTGCACCAAAGCCTCCCAGACCTTCTCCGGAACCTTTTCCGGAACCCTGGTGAACCTGACGTGGCTCTGCACCAAAGCCTCCCAGACCTTCTCCGGAACCTTCTCAGGAACCCTGTTGAACTTAATTTGGCTTTGCACCAAGGCTTCCTGGAACCTTCTCCCGAACCTTCTCCGGAACCTTCTCCGGAACCCTGTTGAACCTGACCTGGCTCTGCACCAAAGCCTCCCAGACCTTCTTCGGAACCTTCTCCGGAACCTTCTCCGAACCCTGTTGACCCTGACCTGGCTCTGCACCAACGCCTCCCAGACCTTCTCCGGAAGCTTCGGAACCTTCTCCGGAACCTCGTTGAACCTGACCCGGCCCCTGCACCAGTGCACACCGGAGCTATTCGGGGCTGAAGACCCCATTAGCTTATGCTGTTGGGGAAAAATGTTTAAACTAATGAATGAAATCATCCGACATGGAAGAATGATAAAATGAAATCGACTGGCTGACATGGAAGACTTTCGAAGCCATCAATGAATTCGTGATTTTTTTCGTGCCGTGTCAATGATATCAAATTTCCACACGCTGCGGGGCTGATTTGTTTCAAGAATAGAAAGCCCCTCTTGACGTTAAATTATATAAGATATTTGGAAAATTTTATGTATGGAAGAATTCCCGAAACCATCGATGAATCATTGATGTTTTTTCATGCCGTGTCAATGATATGTAGCTTCATATAATTTCCACACGTTCCTGGGCTGATTTTTTCAAGATTGGAAAATATTAGAAAGCACCTCTTGACGTGAAGGTAGGATATTTGGAAATTTTATGTTCATGTTCCACCGATGTTTTCCCAGGTCAATGTGGGGACGGCTTTTGGCACCATGCCCTCGGGAAGCACTGTCGCTGACCAGCTTGCACGTTTTGCAGCACTCCGCAATTTGGCCCACGGCGGCCCACTCACAAAAGAATCTAGGCCGGGCGTGAAAGTTGATATATAGCCGACCCGGCGCTGTAGCCCGGCTGCCGAGAATCGCAAAGCCAGCTGCTTTGAAGATGGCCCTAGCATGTCCTAACACTTTTTTCCTCAGCGCAGCATTCTAGCTAGGAAGTCTTGTCTGGCACTTCAAGGCGCCAGAAACAACAAAAAATATATGTATGGTTTGGATTGCCTTAGTCAAAAAATAAATTCAAGTGTTGAAATCATCAATCAAGGTGCCTTAAACCTTTTCTGCCATCCTCCCGGCTCGCCCAGGAACGTGTAGAAATAATATGAAGCTACATATCATTGACACGGCACGAAAAAACATCAATGATTCATTGATGGTTTCGGAAATTCTTCCATACATAAAATTTTCCAAATATCTTAATTTAACGTCAAGAGGGGCTTTCTATTCTTGAAAAAATCAGACCCCGCAGCGCGTGGAAATTTGATATCATTGACACGGCACGAAACAAATCACAACAATTCATTGATGGTTCTTCCACGTCAGTCGATTTCACTTTACTATTCTTCCATGTCGGTCGATTTCATTTATGAGTTTAAACTTTTTTAAATTAAGCAAAAACAATGTTTCAAGTCCTAAAAACATCTGATCCAAATGCATTCCCAACTCATGGATAGCCTCACCGCCCATCCTTTGTGCCACTTCCTGGCTGACAATCACACCTGGCCAAAACCCGTGAAGACGAAAACATGAGTTCCCCGCAACCCCATAAAGACCCCTGAATACGAAAAAAAAGTTTCCCGCAACCCCATAAAGACCACTGAATACCAGAAAATGAGCTTCCCGCAACCGCAAAATGACCGCCAGGGGGCGGCGCGCAAGTAGGCAGAACCGGGCTCCGACTGCAGTCTCATGCGCAGTTTTTTTTGCGGCAGATCTTCCAGATAGAGGCTTAAAACCGCGAAAACACCGACCTTCCTTCAGCAACCCCTGGAGCCAACATACCTGCAAAAACATAGAGGCTGGCATACGTCCATTGTTTCATCACGTATTCACGCGATTCACGCGATCCCGGACAGCTACTGTGATCTATTGTTTCCCCTTGCCAACTGCCATTGCTACTTCTGCGGGTGAGATGACAGGACTGACCATGGACATTCGTCCGTAAGCCAGAAGTTTGCGAACTAAATTTCCTTGGATAAGATAATTCGACCAACAAGATGATTTTCTAGCTGTAAAACCATCCTATATTTAAGCCGCGCTTCGTCAAACGTGTTGAACTTTTGCATCAGCATGATGTGCAGCAAGGGTTTCTCGCACACCCTTGGAAAGAGAAAAGGAAGCTGAAACCTTGGCGATCTTGGTGGAAGAGGGCCGACCTGCACCGGTGAGTTTTGAAGGGGCCGAATTAAATTTCTTAGGGCAGCGAGGGTGGGCCGGTCATCGCTTTAGATTGAATATCAACCGATATCAGGGGCAAAATCGCTTTCCGTACTACTTAGGCTTTGCTCTCTTGCAGGGTTATGTTTCAAGCCATCGACCCCGAGGATGTCAACATGATTGTGGGCTACGAAGCCGGGCGTCGGTTGGAAGAAGCTGTCAGGGAGAAGGTCGATTTTTCGCGCGTGGAGCAGTTTGAGAATTGGTTCTTAGCATCGGCCCCCGGCAACCCTGTGCTCCTTCGAACCTTGGAAATCATCCGACAGAAGTTCCTTTGGAAAGTTCAGAAGACCATTGATTTCACGGGTCCTGGAACCCTCAGCGATGCCGTGCACGAGTTTTTGGCCAACAGTTCTGAGGAGCACGGCATACCGGCAGAGATTTCTCGCAGGACAGGCCAATACGCTGGAAAGCTCAGCTTCCCGAGCGAAAGCACGCACCATTTTGGCAGTGGATAGGATTTTTTTCTTTAGCTTTGCTTTTTTTTTGTGGTGTGACTAATTTTGCAAGCCGCCCCAGCGGTCGTATCGGCAGCTTAAGGTATCAGTTTGGTGAGTGGAAAGCCTTCCTGTTTGCTTCAGGGCGGGTGTCAACAGGCGGCTATGCTTCTGGTGACGATCCAGCGGAGAATGTCCTGGAGCACATGTTTTCAGGAACATGGAAAAGAGGGGCCGCGGTGATTGGAAGCACTCACTTGATGCTCGTGTCAAAGTGAAATAAGGGCATTTGCAAACTAGCCGGCACGGTGAAAACAAGAGCCTGAAGCAAGTCCTGGGCACAGCTGGGTTCTAGGTCAAGACAAGGGCAAGGGAACCAAGAAGTTGATTCGCCTTCCACCGCCAGAGACGAACATAGCGGTTTGCGGTAACATGTATGATGACAATATAACAGACGTGCCCGCGGTACACGTGAAGTCCTGTGGTCAGGCAGTCAAGCAGATGCTTCAATTCCACTAGAAAGATTTGAATCCCCCAAACCTTCTGCCCCATCATAGCTTTTCATCAAGATGTCTAAATTACTTGCACTATTCACCATTTCAACACGATATATACTCTTCTTGAAGTCTCAAAGGGAAAAGAAGCCAATAGGAGATGCGGGTTGTTGTGATGTACGGATGGCAGGGGCAACCAACTGATGCACCGAAATGTGGTTGAGGCTCTGCGTCTCTCTCTCTCTCTATCTCTAACTCTCTCTCTCACCTTCTCTTTGTGTCTCTCTATCTTTCCCTCTGTGTATCTATCTGCCTTCCCAACTATCTCTAGCGTAGCGCACTTGTAGTTGCCGTTGCAGCTGTAGTTGCAGCGTAGTTGTTCCTTGGGCTCCGTCGCTTTTGCGTGGCAGGCGTGGGACAATCTCCGCTGCCAAGGGGTCGGTTGTACGCCCTGGCGTCCCTCTGGCGTTCCTTGGGCTCCGCCGCTTTTGCGTGGCAGGCGTGGGACAATCTCCACTGCCAAGGGCTGACGTTCCTTGGGCCCCGCTGCTTTTGCGTGGCAGGCGTGGGACAATCTCCCCTGCCAAGGGGTCGGATGTACGCCCTGGCGTCCCTCTGGCGTTCCTTGGGCTCCGCCGCTTTTGCATGGCTGGCATGGGGCAATCTCCACTGCCAAGGGGTCGGATGTACGCCCTGGCATCCCTCTGGCGTTCCTTGGGCCCCGCTGCTTTTGCGTGGCAGGCGTGGGACAAGCTGCGCTTTCACTTTCACTCTCACTCTCACTCACTCCCCCTCACTCACTCACTCCCTCTCACTCACTCACTCACTCACTTACTCTCATTCACTCACTCACTTACTCTCATTCACTCACTCACGTCCTCACTCACTCACTCACTCACTCACCCACTCACTCACTTCATACTCTCACTCACTCTCTAACCTGCCGGTTTGGCTCCGCCACACACACACACACATCACCCACTCTCATGTTACCAACAAAAGAAAGATATATAGGATATATATATATAGATAGATGGATAAAAGGATAAATAGATGAATAGACAATGACATCGGGTTTCGCATACGGGTGCACGGCAAGGTGCTCAGTGAGAAAGCTTGTACGAGTCATTGTTGCTTCCCGGTTGTCATAACTGTGTGCATGTCTTCTGGATGCTAAGCAGTCCGGTTGGGAGCTCAGTGACATCGAGTTTCGCATACGGGTGCACGGCAAGGTGCTCAGATGTGCTCAGTGAGAAAGCTTGTACGAGTCATTGTTGCTTTCCGGTTGTCATACCTGTGTGCATGTCTTCTGGATGATAAGCAGTCCGGTTGGGACCTCAGAGACATCGAGTTTCGCATGCGGGTGCACGGCAAGGTGCTCAGTGAGAAAGTTTGTACACGTCATTGTTGCTTTCCGGTTGTCAAAGCTGTGTGCGTGTTTTCTAGATGATAAGCAGTCCGGTTGGGAGCTCAGTGCCATCGATCGAGTTTCGCATACGGGTGCACGGCAAGGTGCTCAGTGAAAAAGCTTGTCCAAGTCATTGTTGCTTTTCGGTTACCATAACTGTGTGCATGTTTTTTTGATGATTGCAATGACTTTCGGCTTTCGGAAGCAATCAAGAGCTACATCTCATCACAGCACACTTCCAGCAGTCCTCAACGGAGCGAAACAATATGGCACAGGATCTCTACGAATAATCCAAAAAATAGTGTTTTTTAACTTCGGAGCACTTCTGGCGCTCGAAGCTGCTTGCTGATTGTGCCTGGAAATCTCTCGGGGCCATTATGAATACCAAGAATTGCTGCTTTCCGGTTGTCATACCTGTGTGCATGTCTTGGATGCTAAGCAGTCCGGTTGGGAGCTCAGAGACATCAAGTTTCGCATACGGGTGCACGGCAAGGTGCGCGGTGAGAAAGCTTTGTACGAGTCATTGTTGCTTTCCGGTTGTCATAACTGTGTGCATGCTTTCTGGATGATAAGCTGTCCAGTTGGATGATAACGTCGCACGCAAGGTAGAGGCCCATTTGGCAGCCACCAGCAGTCCAACAGAAGTTTCCTACATTGAAGTATGGGGTGAGATTGGTGGCAAGCTCTTGCAGCTCTGCCGGGTCGGGGACTTGGTCGCAATCCAAGGAGGCACGGTGCAAGCTGCTCCGGCAACTTTTTCTACGTGCAGACTTCACTACCACCTACGCCTCAAAGGCACGTTGGGCATCACAGTGCTGGCCACTTGACAGAGGATCCGTGGGCTGATGTCCCGGACCTCCATCCACTTGTTCCTCTACGAGCACTGAGCAGAGTCAAAGATCGACAGCAAATTTGTGTGGCTGCCGTCATCATCGACAACCCCGGGGCCATTGAACGTCAAACCAAAGAAAAGATGGCCATGGTCTGAAACGCCATCATTCAACAAGACAATACGAAGGTTCGATGCGCTTTCTGGCATGAGCATGCTGAGGAACTTGCTACCATGGCAGTGAACGAGGTTGTGCTTCTGTACCAGGTTCTCGTCGCAAAGCGTAAATCCAAAGATTCGTGGGAGCTGAGCAGTTGGCGGGGAACCAGCATCCAAGAGTGTCCGGCAGCCAAATACTCGCCCGGACTTTTGCTTTTCTGTTTTCCCTTTCACGCATGCATGGGTTGGGAGTTGCACAAATTGAAGCTACGTGACTATTTGTGTTCTTGCCGATGTCACTGATGCGTCTTGCGAATTTGACACGGCAATGTTTCGAGTTGTAAAAATTTCCTGGTATAATTTCCTGATGGTTGTGATTATTATGTTTTTCGTTTCGATGCTGGTTCCCAGCTATTCGAAGATACCGGTTTAGCATCTACATTGTCCCGTCGCCTCTGAGGAAAAAGGAACTTGCGGACACCGAAGATTGTCAGATGCTCACCGAGATTCCTGTCAGAGACTGGGAGCACTGTGATGCAGTACCCTCGACACTGAGCGCTTTGATTGGCGTTGTGGTGCCAGGTCAACTTCGCAAGGTTGAAACGGTCTTCGTGGTCTCAGACTTGCAGATCTTAGGCATCTCGTCAGTGAAGAGCGAAACGGATGAGTGGCTTATCGCTTCCTGCGTGCGATGCAAGAGGGCCAGCCCTTGTTCGCAACATCCTGACGAAAACACAGAGAAGCGTCTGGCCATCAGATTGACGTTGGCCGATGGCAACAGTCAGTGTACCGTGATGCTGTATCACGAGCTACTGCTGAAGGCAGCAGCGCTTATGGAAGTGACTCTGCCAGAGCCGCCGGCTGATTCCAAGGATCTACGCTCAACCCTCAGAGACATGTTCCGCAATGCTCAGTGGATCTCCCGTTTCACCTTCAAGGAGAACGACTTCCAGCAATCTTTGGAATTGGAGTGTCGCGACATTCGTTCTTGCCTGCGGCTGCAGCCGACTGTCGCGCTGATGAGTCCACCCGACACTTAGATGAACCGTGGGCTTGCTAGTAGGTTAGCCTAGTTAAGATAGTTAGCAAGCCATTAGTAAAGGTATGCTAAAGGCATGCTAAGACTATGTTAAGACTATGCTAGGATCTTGTAAGAGTTTAGCAGATTTACAATACTTAGCTAAAAATTGTAAAAGTTAGCTTAGGGTCGCTAACTAACATAAAAATTGTAACTAGTTAGGTCAAAAGTTAGAAGGGTTAGCTAAAAATTAGCTAAAAGTTAAGTTGTGTTTTTCATAGGTAGGAAACATTTTCTAAACAAAGGAACATGAACTAGACGACGGATGGCCCGAGAGCGTAGAGGAGCAGGGTCTTCTCTTGTTAGTATGGAGACACCATATTACAAAACAATATATTAAAGATGTGTTATAGGCAGTTGAGAAGAGGAGTATTAAGACAATATAGCACAAGCACAAGACAATAGTTTGCATGGCAAACACTTTTACACACAGAAGCTTTTACACAGAGCAAGCTTTTACACAGAGAACCCCTTACACAGAGAAGCTTTTACACACAGAAGCTTTTACACACACACACTTTTACACACAGACGCTTTTACACACAAGGCACTTTTACAGACAAGCAGGCTTCAGGAATCAAAAACTTTAAAGCCAGGATCACAGTGTTTCGTGCCCCAGCTTCCTTCCCCAACATAAGTCCCATATAGTCCCATAGGTTCCAAGACGCCTTATACCTACGCACACAGGAACAACCGCACAGTGCAGAACACCCTGTAGGAACCAATCGCACGTCCACGGGACCCCAGCCGCAACCGCTTCCGCGGCTGCAGCCACCTTACCCGAAAAACACAGTATTTCTCGCTCGGGCTTCCGCCCCAACACAAGTCCCCATGTAGCCCCATGCAACAGTCATGCAGCCATTACAATGCGTTTTGCAGCATCACATGGCATACTCGCGTGCATCTACGCACATGGCAAGAAAACATCACAACAATCATGCAGCCATTACATTGAGATCTGTAATCGCAGGTTCCAAACCGCTCTATACCTACGCACACACGAACAACCGCACAGTGCAGAACACCCTGTAGAAACCAATCACACGTCAAAGGGAACCCAGCCGCAACCGCCTCAGCAGCTGCAGCCACCTTACCCGAAAAACACAGTGTTTCGCGCCCGGGCGTCCTCCCCAACACAAGTCCCCATGTAGTCCCACGCAACAGTCATGCAGCCATTACAATGCGTTTTGCAGCATTACGTGGCATCCCCGCATGCATCTCCGCACATGGCAACAAACCATCACAACAATCATGGAGCCATTACCCTGCGATCTGCAACCACAGGTTCCAAAACGCCCTTTACCTACGCACACACGAACAACCGCACCGTGCAGAACACCCTGTTGGCACCAATCACACGTCAAAGGGACCCCCGCCGCAACCGCCTCACAGACGAGCTGCCCTTCATTGGCGGCTGCAGCCAGCTTACGCGAAAAACAAAGTGTTTCGCGCCCGGGCATCCTCCCCAACAAGACCCATATAGTCCCACGCAACATTCCTGCAAGCATTACAATGCGTTTCGCAGCAGGGCTTAGACATTCATGCAGCCATATCAATGCGATTTGCATCTGATGTATAGTTGTGTGATGTTTTGTTATGTGATGTATTGTTGTGCGATGTATTGTTATGTGATGTAGTGTTGTGTGATATTTTGCTGTGCAATGTATTGTTGGGTTGTGTTTTGTTATGTGATGTATTGCTATGTGATGCATTGTTATGTGATGTATTGTTGTGTGATGTACTGTTGTGCGATGTACTGCAATGTGATGTGTTGCTGTGTGATGTAGTGTTGTATGACGTATTGTTATGTGATGTATTGTTGTGTGATGAATTGTTTTGTGATGTATTGTTATCTGATGTATTGTTGCGTGATGTATTGTTTTGTGACGTAACGTTGTGTGATGTATTGTTGCGTGATGTATAGGCTTACAATTGGTTTGCCCGTAACTCGGAAGATTGCTGCCCATCTTCCTTCTACATCACTATCATTTACACTAGATTTTTTTCACAGAAGTTCTTACACAGGAGTTCTTTTAGAGGAATTATTATCGATGAAGTTGGTCCAGGTGATGTAAAGGATTTGGTAAAAGATGTAGGTGATATAGATCATGTGTGTTATGCAGTGCAGATTAAAAAAATAGTAGGGGATGCAGGTAATGAATGAGAAATAATCATATATCGGCTATAAATTTTATAGGAAATATTAAATGCAATTTTAAAAATAAAAAATAACAACAATTAATTGGATGAAAATATTTTATTTTACTAATATATATATACCAGTAATACCGCACAAGGCGGTGGCGGAAGTTTCAAAAATAGGAAACCTATAGGAGAGGTTGGTTGTTGTGAATCAGGGATGGCAGAGCGAAGCCACTGATGGACTGAAAGGTGCTTGAGGTCTGCTCTGTCTTCTCTCTCTTTCTCTGACTATCTACCTACCTATCTATCTGTCTTCTATGTATCTATCTATCTATCTATCTCTCTCTCTCTTTCATCTAATTACCTATCTATCTATCTACCTATCTATCTATCTATCTATCTCTCTCTCTCTCTGTTTCATCTGTCTATCTGTCTAGCTGTCTACCTGTTATCTATCTATCTATCTGTCTGTCTGTCTGTCTGTCTACCTGTCTATCTGTCTACCTGTCTATCTGTGGCGCAGTGTCATTCAGTGTAATGTAGTGTAATGTAGTGTAGTGTAGTGGAATGTAGTGTAGTGTAGTGTAATGTAGTGTAGTGTAGTGTAATTTAGTGTAGTGGAGTGGAGTGGAGTGTAGTTGTGTAGTTGTAGTTGTAGTGTAGTGGAGTGTAGTGTAATGCACTGAAGTGTAGTGTAGTGGAGTGTAGTGTAGTCTAATATAGTGTAGCGAAGCGAAGCGACATTTGAACCTCAATTAATTTCCGAAACACATCATCTTTTACACACAACTTTGTCACACACCATTTTTCCTCCACCTCTTCCTTTGTCTTTCCTTCCTTCCCCGTCCCCGCTACAACATTTCTGGCTTAATTTTTGGAAGAAGTTGACTTGTGGGGTTATCCGGTCCTTTTATTTTTCGCTTGGCAGCCGCCACGCCGCTTCCGCGTCCGCCCGCCGCCGTGTCCCTCACTCATCACACCTCACTCATCACAGCACTACTCAACTCATCACACCTCACTCATCACAGCACTACTCATCGCACCTCAATCATCACAGCACTACCCATCACACTTCACTCATCACACCACGCTGTCGTGTGGCAGGCGCAGTACACAGAGCCTCCTGGCGAAGCTGCTGCGCGCGTGGGCGCCGCTGGGCCGCGGCTGCCTTTCGTGTGGCAGGCGCGGTACACGGCGCCGTCTGGACGAGCTGCTGCGCGCGTGGTCGCCGGCTGGCCCGCGTGGCGCGCGGCTGGCTTTCGTGTGGCAGGCGCATTATGCAGAGCCTTCTGGAGTAACTGCTGCGCGCGTGGTCGCCGGCTGGCCCCCATGGCCCGCGACTGGATTTCGTGTGGCAGGCGCGTTACACAGAGTCTGGAGGAGTTGCTGCGCGCGTGGTCGCCGGCTGGCCCGCGGCTGGCGTTCGTATGGCAGGCGCAGTACACAGGGCCTGCTGGAGGAGCTGCTGCGCACGTGGTCGCCGGCTGGCCCGCGGCTGGCGTTCGTATGGCAGGCGCAGTACACAGGGCCTGCTGGAGGAGCTGCTGCGCACGTGGTCGCCGCCTGGCCCGCGGTTGGCGTTCGTGCGGCAGGCGCAGTATACAGAGCCTTCTGGAGGAGCTGCTGCGCGCACGGTCGCCTGCTGGCCAGTTGATTATGTAAACGTCCCATGGGGTAGCGGTGACAAGCGGAGATGCGAAAATTGGTGTTTGGCCTGTCCTGACAGGCGGTGCTGGTAACTTGCTCTGTGTAAACGTCGTTCGGGGTAGCCGTGACAGGCGGAGATGCGAAAATTTGTGTTTGCCGTCGTCCTGACAGGCGGGACTGGTAAGCGGTATTG